GATAAGATTACAACCATGGCTGGGGATTAGGGTGTATCATCAATTAGATAAGAAGTGCCTGGAGGGCAGACTCACAATCCTGAATCTTCTACACCCTTCCCCTTTCTTTAATCTCCTTCCCCTTAATCTCCTTTTGCTCCTCCCCCTTACAACCAATATTGTGTGTCAATAAAAGGGCCAGGATCTTGCTCTTCAGCAGCATCCTGCATTATGTAGCCTGCTCCATGACTCCTGTTTCTTTATCAGTGTGGTGTTGCCCAACACAATATGACTAGGTAAAATATATATTGCTCAGTTTGGCTTGGGATGAACTTAAAATTTAGCCTTAGGATGCTCAAATTGTATGCATCTGATTTGTGAACATGGAACAATCCCTATCAAAATATTTATGTGACAAGAGCAGACCTATTTTTGTGTTGTGCATATAATATATATAAACATATATAAAATATGAATAAATAACTATATAGTTACATACATGTATTTATATTTGTATTTCAACACAGTGAGGATGGATACTTTTAAAGATTTATTTATTTATTTATTTATACAAGAACCGGGGTACAGGCCAGATGCGTGGTAGGGTGAGAGGATTCACCAGAGACAGAACAAAACAGGCAGACTGGTGAAATACACTGCTGAGGGGAGCAGCAGGTGAGACAGGAGAGATCTGATGTGCCATCTGGGATTTGCCATCTGGGACCCTCGCTGGCCAGCCGGGAATGAACCGGTGCTGCAGTGGCTGTGGACAGCTTCGCATTGCAGTGCTTAACCGTCTCTGCCACTAAGGGGAAGCCTGAGGATTGATACTTTTTATAAGTATATTTGTTTTCTATTTATAAATAAATATAAATATATTAGTGGCTTAGACATCAAAAAAAAATTTGTCTTACAGTTTTGGAAGGTAGAAATCTCAGATCAAGGTGTCAGCAGAGTGGATTCCTTCTGATGCTCTGGAGGAAATTTACTCCCTAAATCTCCCCAAATTTCAAGTGGTTTGCTGGCAATCTTTGGTATTCCTGGTGTAGAAGTATAGCCTTATCTCTGCTTTCATACTTACATGGTGATCTCCCTGTGTGTGTGCTTTTGGGTCCTAATTTCCCTTTTCTATAAGATTACAGATATGGTACATTATGACCCTCACCTCAAATTAAGTAATTACATCTGCAGTGATCTCATTTCCAAATAAGGTCACATACTGAGTTACTGGCTTAGGTCTTCAACTTCGGAATTTTTGGGGTACATAATTCACCCTCAAGAATAGAGCACAACAATAATGATATAGGAATATCAATTTTCTATAAACATTTCAAAATACGTCCTCTATTTTAAATACTCATTTCATGGTTAGGATTCTATGGATTAGTTTCAGGGCACAAAAACAATATATTGCACTGATTACAAAAAAGAAAGAACAACTCTAAAATTTAGAGGAGTAGGAAGGGTAACTATGTCCTTTCTAATGTGGCAATTTCAAATTATTACTTTAAATCTTGGCCAGTTCCATTGCAAAAATTATAAGAATATTTTGTGCTAGGGAGCAAAATATCATGCATAATATATAATGTTCTGCTATCAAAAATGTAGCCCATCAGATCTACATTGAAATTAAAAAAAATGACTAAAAAAGAATTACTTGACTCACATGAAATGATATGGTTAAAATGAGTATTTTCATTATACAATAGAATTAGTACAGGTAGTGTTTTATAGTAAAGACTAAAAAATTACTTTAAAATAAAATAGTTACTATATCATTAATTTAAGAACTGACACCGCAAAAAAAAAAAAAAAATCCTGTTTGGCGTGTGTGTGTGTGTGTGAAAAAAACCTAGTAGTTCTAGATAAATTATTAAGAGAGTTTTGTTTTTGTATGTCCAGCTGTTGGCTATACTGTCCCTTTGGAATTTTTTTGTTTGCATTTTTTACTTTTAGGGAATAAGACAGGAAGAATCATAGCTATTTTTTTTTTTATCTTGTGACCTAAATTCTTGAATTGGGGAAAGAAAAATGCTAATATAATATCCTATTATGTGATATGATCTGAGATAGATAGAAATAAAAATAGATTAAAGACTCAAAATATTGTCCACACTAGATTCAGCTATATGAGTGAAAATATTTTAGATATGTGAGAGGCTGCTCTCAATTCTTATAAATAATGAGCTTCCAAGAACATTTAGTAAGTGAATGCACAAATGACTTACATGTTTAATGGAGGATTTCTGTTTCTAAATAACTACAGCTATTCAAATATCCATAGCCAGGTTTTAACATTCAGTGTTTTTTAAATTGTGTTGTGTTCAATACATTTGTAATATCTTACAAATATTAAAATAAAAAATATAAAAAACACTTTAAAAATTTATTCTTCAGTTAGTTTGAAATTTAAAGTATTGAAATAAGTACTTCAATGTTAGGGATAACTTAGTCATTTTTGTAAAGGAATGATCCAGGAAACAAACGTTTTTGCATAGAGATTGTATTGATGATTTTGATGAATTCTTAACATATTTTTTAAATAGTCAAGGCAAATTTAAAGGTTAGATTTCTTCTCTTTAAAAAGAATCTGTTTGGTTTCAACTCAGAGATGTACAGCTGGATAGAGAAACCCTCTCATCCTTAAAAATATGCTACAATTGGATAAATTGCATGTTACTTTTTTGAACACACATGGAACTGAAATCACAATGTAATTAACGAATCTGAAACTATAGCATGAAATAGGACCTTCTCATTTGCTTACTAGGCATTGGTAAGAAATTCAGGTTCAATTTTTCGAACACATTGCTTAAGACCAAATATGTGCTAGACCTAGGTGGGAAGCCTATTGGCCCTTCACTATCTTTTGCAGACTTTTCCCTCTTTCAATGCAGCTAGGAGATCACAGAAAACATCAAAAAGAATCCAAGAAAGCTCTTGCTGCCGGTTGGCGACAAAGAACAGCACAAACTACTCAAGCCAGATCCTCCATCCTCTATCTTCCATTCAGAATAAAAGATTTAATCTGCACAGAGAACACGGTAGAAGCTGCTATTGTAAGGAACTGATGCAAAATCATTCCAGCTGAGATAAGGGGAGACATTATACCATTCTAAACAATATCTTCCAAAAATAGGAAGGGGATAAACACTTACCATTTCACTCTATAAAGCCAGCGTCTCCTTAATACCAGATCTAGACAGAGCCATTTAATAGATAGGAAGCTACAGACGAATACGCCTTAGGAAAACAGACACAATTCTCACCAAAATATTAACATAATAAATTGAACAGTATATAGAAAAGATCACCACCAATTAGATTCATTTCAGGAATGTAAAACTAGTTCGATGTATCAAAAATCAGTACAATTCTACATTTTAAAACACTAAAGAGGACATGTCATATGATCAGGTCAATTGATGCATAAAAAGTTTTTGAAAAAAGTTCAACACCTTTTTATGGAAAATATTCTTAGTAAAAAATGATTAGAAGAAAGTGACCTTAACATAATAAAAAACATATATTTTCCCTAAGTTCAGGAAGGAGAGAATGTCTACTCTCACTGCTGCTGCTAAACATTACACTGGAAGTTCAACACAGTGCGATAAAACAAAAAATAATAAATTTATAATATGAAGATGTTGTAAAGGAAGAACTAAAATTGATGTATTCCTATATCTTAATTATATGGAAAATCCCAAAGAATCAATAAAATTAATGCATTTAAATGTGCTTAAAAAAAATCTAAGGTTAAGATACAAATCAGTAGTGTAATCATAAAGACATTAAAGCATGTTTTGATATCTAGATTGGTACCCCCATTATGGTTCTCCATTTTTAGGAATTTACTAAGTTCTTTTGGGTTTATTTTTTCATAGAACTTCATCATTAATATTTGTTGATCTAGGAAAAAATAATGTATTGATACTTGTATTAGGTTGCATTATATGTAAAAATCCTTAAATCAGTGAAGCAAGAAATTTTGTTTGAATGGTGCTGATGATTTAACATGTTCTTATGATACTTTCTTAAATAAATACCTGCATGTGTATATATAGTTAAGATTTCTTTATAATTTACATCTCTGAAATCTATTATACACACTTTTATATAGAGATGTATTTATGGGTGTAGGTAGATATAGATATCTTTACAACTTGAAAACTTTATATGCTGTTGAGTAAACTTGTCCATGAACAAACGGGAGCATCGCTTCCCATTTGTTCAAATATACTCTCTTAGGCCTTTCAGCAATGTTTTGTTTTTGCTCATAAATGAAAACTGGATCCCACAATCCCAAGCCGCAAGGCAAGGAGGGGCTCTTTCCCACCACCTCAGCGCCGCCTGCAAGGGTGCTGTGCAGGCCCCTCCATGCGCACTGCTGGAAAGCTGGCAGCAGCAGTGGTGATTTCCTGTCCTGCTGCTCCGGTGGCCACTGAGCCCCTCTAAAAGCAGCAGCAACAGCCGCTGCTGTTTTGGGGAGTCCCAGCTCCCCATAGGGGCACACTGCCTGCAGGCAGCCCCTCCCCCAGCACAAGCGGGGTTGAGCGCCAATCCCCTAAGGAGCAGCAGCTGCAGGAGTTTCTATCTGGCTGCCCAGAAGCACTGCCTCCGGGCAGCGTCAGGGCAGCGTGCGGGCCATCTGCAGTGGGAGGCAAGAGACAGCTACACGGAGGCCCACCTCAGTGGGCCTGGCTTGATTGCCTTGCGGTGCTATCAGGGTTTGAACGCCAGAGTCCCCCACCGGGTTCCTGCTTCAGGACTAGAAGCTCCTGCTTGCAAGCCGTGGAATAGGCATTGGTGGAGGACATTTTACCGCCCAACATCAGGCGCCCCACTGGACGCAGGCTGTAGGAGGAGGAACCAGCAGTGATGGCAGGCAGCAGTGGTTCCCTGTGCTCGAGCAAGGCTGCCAGAGAAGACAACAGTTAAGTCCCTCAGCCCCTGCCTCAAGGCTGCAGGGAGGAGCTTGGGGCCCACTAGGCCAGCTCCAGCGTTTCTCTCAACTTCAACCTCCGCATTGTGGAGTCCTGCTTTCAGACTGTTGCTGTGGGCAGCTGCCAGCTAATCTCAACAGCCACACCTGTGAACCACCCTGAACTGGAGCCTGGCGCATAGCTTGCATGAGTGCCCACATTGATAGGAGAGCACAGCATTGAAGGAGTGACCTATTGTTTGTAGACACTATCTGAGGTAAGATAGCCAGCCACTGTGGCCTTAGAAAATGTTCCCCCAGTTTGTTAAATAAACCCCATTGTTGTTCCCTGAGCCCGAGTGATCCTGCAATTGACAAGAAGGGTGAGAACCGTAGCACTGTCCTTTGACCCGCAATAGCCCTGCTGTAGCAGTTTCAATACAGATGTTGCACATTTAAAAAAAAGAAAAAAAATCCTATGGCATTTGAAGATCTTTTGTTCTTTTAAGAGGGTATTAGCTATTCCATCTTATGACTATGTAAAGGAACTAGGATTGTAAGAAGAAATTCACGGACTCAAGCCTGACCAAGCCTTATCCTGCCTGGTTGTGAGCTCTGTGGCAAGAATAGCCTATAATGTGAGCTCAGGAGAGAGGATTCCTTGCAGCTGGGGCAGAACCTAAAGGTGCTGAGAGCTGGATTCTATCTCAGGAGCTCACTCCCCAAAGCTTGGAATAATTATTTGAAGCTCAGAGGAAAGCTAAGAGTGTGATGGAGAGCTAATAATAGAGCTCTGAGAACATTTAATGGACAAGCAGAGGAAGAGAATCTGAAAAGCAGCACGAGAGGACTAAAAGTTGGGTAAGTTTTGGAGTTGTCAAATTTCTAAGGTTTGAGCAAATGGTTCATTTCTTTGGCAATTGATTTATTTTTGCAAGTTTTGATTGTGGGTTTTAAAATGCGAAAGAGTGGAATGTGAATTGGAGTAAGAAATCTTTCTTCAAGTCAATTTTCAAGAAAATTGGGTATATCAAAATACTAAAGGAAAGTATTCAGGGTAAAGTAATATGTTCAAGATATAAGGGGGAAGGCAGTTAATTGATAATCTTCAAGTCACATATGGAATAATACTTTTTTGAGAGTCTATAGGTATATTTTTATTTAGTGTGACTAGACAGAAAAAGAAAATAATCAGTGTGTGTGAAATAAATTCATGGTACTTGTGGTAGCAGTTTAATGGAGTATTGGTGTGTTAAAATGCCCAAAATATTCACTGAAAGTGGGGAAGAAATTGAAATTAAAGTTTAAAGAACTTAAGAAAGGCTGGCTCTGAGCAAGAGCAGTGAATATTGGGAGACAAAACTAAAAAGGGAAATACAAGATTTCTGGGCTGCATTGAAAATCTACTTATAACTACAAATATATAAAATCATTGTTTAGAGCTGTGCTTTCCAATACAGTAGTCAGTAGCCATGCCTGTCTATTAAGTTAATTTGTTTTTAAACATTTTGAAAAGATAGGTTTATTAGGAAAAAGAGAAAAAGAGGCACCTGCATAGTCATAGGCAGGCAGGAGAGCTGCTTTTAAATTAAAATTTAAGTCAATTAAAATAAACCAATAACAGCTTCTTAAATGCATTAATCACATTGCTACTGCTTACTAGTTACTAGTGTGTACTGTATTGGATAGCACAAATATAGGCAGTTTCCATCACTGCAAAAAAAAACCTCTATTAAGTATCCTAGACTAGAGAGTTGGGTTGTTTGTCCACAACTGTGTTCAGCTGTCCAGGAGTAGTGGCTGAGTGCAAACCTTTGGTTGCCTTGGAATTACCATCACACCTAACCTGGAAAGAAAAGAAGAAGGCTAAAACCAAACCAAAGGTTGACACCTACCTTTGGAACTGCATCTACAAGGAAAAGAAAATAGGAAAAGGCCAAAAAATACTACACTACAGATGCCAAAGGCTTTGATATTAGATGAGACTTAATCGCATTGGAAGAGAGAATGTTTGCGAGTGAGATAATTTTAATTAAGATTTCACAGGTGGAATTGTCCTTGGTGAGGACTAAGCTAAGCATTTGGTGGAAGTGGAGAGAATTTGTAGTTCATTGGTGTTCAGAACATTTTTGTATTGACTAAAGAGAAATAATCAGGCTGTAATAGAGTCAGGAAAACATTTATTGGAGAATGAAAGTCAGGATTTTGGTGCAGTAGTTTAGGAACAGTCCCAAGGTATGTACCTGGAGGGCCAGGGCATAGGATCATGCAGGGAAGGGTCTGAGTTTAAGGCATTTGTTATGAAACTCTTGGATTGGTTCTTAATTTTTTTTTTTTTCTGTCCATGATTGGTGAGCAGATATTTGCTGAAGAAGGCCGTCAGGTTGAGGTCTACTGAAATAAACAGATGTTTCCTGTTTTTGTGGTTGCTGAATTGCAACATGGCACCTTAGAGATATGATGGAGTCTATGATAGAGTCATTTGATCCAGAGCAGATTCCACACAAAGAAATATGGTGCTGGACCGAATATTTGGATGCTGAAGTCATATGAGATTAAAGAAATAAGTAATATGTAGGAAAACAAATTGATAAATGTTAAATAAAAAATAATCAGAGTAATATAATCAAGGGGCAAGTGACCCTTAAAGCCAAAGTCTGTAGGAAAGACTATCAGGAAGGGGAGGCTGGAAACTGATGCCCATGTGCTAAAAGTGATCATCTGAAATTGGCCAAAAGGGCATTGCACATAATACAGAGGTGGGGGAAGTGAATGTGAGATTTGGCCCTAAAAATAAGGGTGATAGAAAGAGAAAGTTTAATAAATTTGGGTTTGGACCTCTCAGGGCATGAGTTCCCAGATCTGTCATTTATGATGGGTATAGGTAAAGTGGGGGCCACTAGGATGGCTGATGCTGCAGCAATTTGTGTGTAAAGAGTTACCTTTTATGGCAAAAAATGACTTGCTCATCTCTATTCTGGAAGGAAAATGTGATATAATTACATTTGCTAGAGAGAGATATTAAACATAAAAAGGGAATTTTATAAACTTACCAATGTTTTTATTTTTAAAAAGGCCACTAGATACACACACACACACACACACACACACACACATACCTGTGTATGTATATATAGAGAGGGAGAAAGAAGAAAGGGAGTCATATGGAATTTGATCCAATTATTATTTTGCTAATTTTGAGGATACAAAATGATTAAGATATGACGCATAGCCTTAATGAAAAAAGTATCCAATAAAGTCTGTACAAATAATCAATAAGGCCATCCAAAAGCAATACTAACAAGTGTGGTGTTTTATATGTCAATGCAGTCTTTATAATATTTCAACCCAAAAGACAAAATGTAAAACTAGTTATTCCTAGCTTATATTGAATAATATTTTCTAGTAATTATGTTTTTACTTTTTTCCAATTGAAACTTGCTAGTGTGAGGGTCTCCCCTGGTGGTGTTGTGGTTGAGCGCTGGGCTGCGAAGCTGCCCATAGCCTCTGCAGCACTGGTTCCATCACCAGCTGCCGGCAAGGGTCCCACATGGCACACAGACCTCTCCTGCCCCACCCACTGCTCCCCTCAGCAGTGTATTTCATCAGTCTGCCTGTTCTGCTCCCCGCTCTGGCTCTGGTGAATTCTCTCACCCTCCCGCGCTTCTGACTGTACCCAGTGCTTATATAAATAAATAAATCTTTAAAAAAAAAAAAAAAGAAGAAACTTGCTAGTGTGAGAAATGTTAAAACTCATTATCTTTCAATGTGTGCCCTTAAGTAAATGGGCCTCTCATACAGTCTTTTCTTGAGAGATAGCTTTTCAAAACAAAAACTTGTCCAAAGATTCAGTGTCTATGATAGAAGGAAATATTTTAAAAAGTTGTGTCTTTCAACTTTATATCACATCTTGCTCTTCTGACACGTTTTAAACAGAAATTTTGAAATATAACCAGACAGGCACATGTTATCTACCATGTGTGTCAGTAGATTGTCAAAAAATAGTCTGTGTTAGTTTATCTGGTTCACAATTCCTATGCTGGATATTTAATGCACAATTTTGTATCACCTGTGTATGCTATGTTTTTTGTGAGGGTGAGTAAAAAAGACATATAATAAAGCTTTTTTTGGGTGCTAAAATGCTACATCAGTCACCTTAATTTGCTGCAAATAAGACTAAATTAGAGTTTAAAATCAGAACACTGCTACCCTGTTCTTCTGGTAGCAATGCAGCATCCTAACAGCAGGTAAGCCATCACAAGATTTAGAGCTCAGCTCAATCAGTGGCAACAAAATTAGAAATAAATAGAGGAAGATCAATACAAAGTGTTGTCTGGAATAATGAAACAGCCCTTGGCTGGAAAAATCTATTTTATTTTTCTTCTTTTAGCAAGGTGTTCTGGAAATATCTAACCTAGTTCTATAGAAACTCAGTCCACTTTGTTTATAATGACAAAGAAGAGTCAGTGGTATTATAATTTATGCTTTATTTAATGTATATATGTAAATGTGGCACATATTATATATATACACACACATATTGTCAAAGATGAACTGGTAGAACATTAGGGAATTTAGAGAACACAGTGTTAATTATTAAAATTATATTACATTGACAAAAACTGCTTTAAAGGTACCTATCATTTGTTATGTTGTTAACCTTTCATTGTATTTCCATGAATATATTCCTTTAAATTTAAGAGTTTATGATATTAACCTTGCAAGGTGACTTACAACAGAAGCTTCTAATATATTTAATGTCAAGATAGTGATGTATCTTGGAAAAGGAAAAATAATCACCAACGTTGCTCATTGCATTCCCAAGATTCATGAAGTGCTGGATGCAATCTGTGAGCTAAGGAGTTTTGAGCTGCCTCTTCGCCTCCTGTGTTCAGGGGCCAGGTTACAACAACAGTGTACCTTGTTAGAATACTGGGTCCAGCTAAATTCTAATAATTGAGTATTGAGGCTTAGTGGAGGAATTAGCCTTCTCTGTGGTGTTATCAGGTGACTGGAGTCCAATGGTTATGATTGCAACTAGATAATGGAGCTATTAAGTGGCAGGTTTCACCACATCTGTCTTAGTGTTAGGGAAAAAATAAAACTTTTATTTTGGTAACAGAGATGGAATTGCTTTGGTAATGTTCAGGACTTGCAAGAGCAGTTTCAGTTTCTGAAACCATGAGTTTAAGCCAGTTTCCCTAACATTGTAGGGAAGGAAATCACTTTTCTGACAGGCCAGACAGAAGATACTGTGTCCTAAGAAATTACCTGTTTCCTTTTTTTAGAGAAGATTTATTTATTATGCATATAATAGCTGGGGTACAGGCCAGAGATGCGGCGGGGGTGTGTGTATGTGTGTGTGAGAGCATTCACCAGAGACTGAGTAGGGAACAGAACAGGAAGATTGACCGAAGTACACTGCTAAGGGAAGGAGCGGGCGAGACAGGAGAGGTCTACTGCGCCGTGTGGGTTTCTCTCTGGCAGGCTGGGGATCGAACTCGTGCTACAGAGGCTGCGAATTGCTTCATAGTGTGGTGCTTAACCCTTTGCACCACCAGGGAGGCCCACCTGTTTCCTTTCAATATCTTTGTTTGAAAATGACTCAGACTACATCTGGCTCTTGAATATTAGCTAAAATGGGGGCTTCTCTAAATGTTTACCTATAAATCAGAGCTATGGATAAATAAGACAATCCCCTTAAAAATGCTCTTTGAAAGCTTGATGTTACAGTATAACTACCATAACCAAACATAAATAACATTCCATTTCAATGAATAAATAACTTGAAGGAGATATTTAAGAAATACATGAGAAACATCTTTTCAAGTAAAGGAAGTAGCAAAACTAACTAATAAAAT